GAGTTATTGAAGACTGGATTATTGTCAAAATTAGCGAAGAACGGCTGTGGTGCGATCGTCTGTTGACCGATCGGTGCCGTCGTCGTCGGGCAGAAGGGATCAGGAACTTTGCTAAAGTCGGCGACGAAGTCCGTCGAGAAATTGTTGGAATTGTTTAATGCATCCGTGCTCGGCTTCTGGCTGACCGGTGCGGGCAACGTCGTGGATGTTCCCGAGTTCGGTACCCTCGGAATGCTGCTCGTGGACTGTGACTTTGGCTGTGTCGTTACCGTATTTTGATTTGCGATTGACGGGTCCAGATAATATCTTTTAAGCTCGTACTTGGCGCTCATCAGATCCTTCATCTTTTGTTCGTCCTTAGTATCCAAGTTCTGTGGGGAGTTTGAGTTCATCAGGCCCAACCATATTCTTCTGCAGTACTCGTTGCCATGCTCCTTTATGAAGTCTATCTCATCCTGGGTGAACGTCGCCATAGAAATGGACTTTACCCTGTGTGGTGGAGTCAGGCCTCGTCTGGAAATGCAACACGAGGGTTTGTAGATCAGGATTTTGATTCATTGACGCAGAAATCGGATTGATAGAGCAGACAGGAAAATCTTGCTTATCGTGACGTGAGTTATGTAAACACGCACTTATAGTTTCAGTTTTAAAAAATATAAGTATCGTAATATCATTTCCACAAAAACATTAGCTCACCGGCGATAATAGAGAAATTTATCTTAAGGTCTGTTCTTTTCGAAAGATATTCTAACTGGTGTATATTGGTGCAGTAAGTTGGAGTGCACTATTAAGATACTTATTAAGACGATATTGTATTAGCGTACACCAATTCAAAATATTCATCAAAAAACAGAGCTCTCGTAAATATATTTACAGTTCCTCATAGTTGAACAAATTATCATCATTGCGATATCTTTTTCACAAAAATATTTACAATAATTAGCTGATCAGTGGTAACAGAGAAATATCCGTTATCTTGTATTTTGGAAACTGAGCGTTTCTATGCTCTTATCAATTTGAAATTATTTGTTAAAAAATGAGAAACAAGAACGAGAAAGAGAGAGGAGAGAAATTCGCGGAAAATCAATGAGTGCTTAGCCATTGTAATTACGTCATACAGATATTCCATTTTTCAAATCGCGGCTCGCTCTGGAATGGAGGGACTTTCGTCCCTCGGCTTATACCCGTACGTCAATCGTTAAGTTTCCGTGACGAATAATAACGAGGCTCGCGTGTTAGTAATACGTCATATAGGTTTGCGAATACAGTACAGCGAGATTTAAAAATCCGCACGTGCGCGCGTGTGCAGTGCAATGCGACGCGGAGCGGTGCAATGCGACTTGACCGATTAAAGAGCGCGAGTCGATAATCGGTACTTCGCGTATCACGCGTCAGCGATTGCAGTTTCCTGGGAAGGAAACAAGAGAAATATATAGATAGATAGATAAATAGATAGATAGATAGATAGATAGATAGATAGATAGATAGATAGATAGATAGATAGATAGATAAATGGATAGATAGACAGACAGATAGATAGATATATATATATATATATATATAGAGAGAGAGAGAGAGAGAGAGAGAAAGAGAGAAAACCAAAAGAAAAAAGAGAAATGAGGGAAAAAGGGACGAGAATAAAAAATGCATTTCTTTTTCTTTAGCGGTAACATTTTGCACGTAACATTTTGACCAATGATAACTAGAACTGCGCACAAAGAAAACGTCGACGTCGACGTCGCTGATAGCGCTAACTTCCTGGCCGTGGACACCGACGTTTTAACGCGATGACTCATTTGGAGTCCGTGCGCGAGAGCGCACAGTCTCTCGCTCGCTTTCTCTCCCTCTCTCTCTCTCTCTCTCTCTCTCTCTTTTTCTCTCTTCTCTAAGACGACTGGAAGAAGCCTGTACACGTGTACGTCGCCCGAAGCGATTTTCACGCGGAGGCTGCGTCCCACATAAAAGGACATTTCTGAGGATAACGGCGTTGTGTTCACCAGGACCATCTGCCCACTCGGCGGTCACGCGGCACGGATTTTCTCTTTCTATTTATAGTCGTCACACGAATCATGGTCAAAACTAGGATTTGGAGCGGGGTAGAGACGGCTATTCGCGATGATCGCGATACCATCGATCGTGGTAGCGCACTTGCTGACCTCGCCGTGTTCCGAGTTCCGATTCGCAGGGCTGACCGTTGTCATGCCCTTCTCTGACAATGAAACCGTTTCGAGGGTGATCTGCGAGTGTCTTAGGTTCTCCTAGATTCGCATCCGAGACGATGATTGTATGACATTTGCCCAATGTCACGTCTCGGGGACAGAGGACGGGGAGGAGGGGAGGGGAGGGGACGAGAAGGGCATACTTAACAGCGGTTAAGCTGCACGCGATCGAGGAAACATCGACGAGGTCGGGGAAGTAGAGGGGAGGAGAGAGGGGGAGAAAGAGAGAGAGAGAGAGAGAGAGAAAAAGAGAAAGAGACGGCGATGAACAGAGAATTTATTGGAGCCGGAGCTACTTACAGCATACCAGAGCAAGAGGTGCAGACGAACGAACCGATCGTCATGTTGACGTAAGTCGGCCCGCGCTGGTTGCAATCGAAGCATTCCTTGTTGCCCGGCTGCGAGACCAATTCGCGGAGCGTCTTCAAGTTCCTCTCGTCCTGTTTCCTCTTTGTGGACGCCATCCCGTCTGCGTGGGTATACACTATACGCGCGCTCGCGCGCGGCGGCAATGAGTTTGCACTGGTTTGCTGTTTGCGCCTCGAGACAACCTCGAGATGAACGGCCTTACCCAGGTCGTCGAGCTCAGTCGACTACTCGAGCCACTCGAGCTACTCGAGCCTCGAGCTTGCTCGAGCTATGTCGAACGCGGGCGCGATCCCTAGGTTCCAAGGATTGTACTGGATTGTACGAACCACCTATCACGCCGCGCCTACAAAACTGACTGCGATGCGCAATGCTGCTGCATTCACTCTCTTTCTCTCTTTCATTCTTCCTTCTCACTTGCTCGCTCGCTCTTACTCCTTTTCCTTCCCTCACTTCGGCAGTTCGGCAATTGACAAGTATTTTGACAAGCAAGGATACGCGAGATATCCAATGGAAGCGTGCGGATCCTAGGGATTGTTTAAGACGCCATTTTCGTTCCTAGGAAACGAATCTTCTCATTGGATGTCGAATGGAGTGTGAAATCCACGTTAGAGGAGTCAGCTGTATTTATATGTGCATACGTCACAGCCAGAGGGCGACTTCGATTAAAATCCGATAAATTTAATTGGCATTTAAATCGATCCGTGGAATTGTTTAATTACAGCAAAATCTTTAGCTAGATTAATTATACAGTATTGAGTTAAATTCATGAAGACTATTGTATAGATACTTTACACATAAGTTAAACGTACATATATTGATAACGCAATGCTATCATCGCGTATATCGCAAAACTGCATTTTTTCTACGCGGTTGTCGCCCGCGTGAATAAACCTGAAACAAATAACAATTAATGATGTACAATTCTAACTTTAATCTTGGTTAAACTTACTTTTTATCCTGTTATAGATCTAACAATCAGAAAAAGATAAAGATTGAGTAAGTAAGACCGAGATTAAAAAGCTGAGTAATCTGTTTACTTATTCGACACACGAGTCTATGTCGTTTCTATCAATCGTTTAATGTATAAATTTAATTTTGGTTCAAGCTCTTCATCCTTTTCTAGTTTTAAGAATTAAAAAAGAGATGAAAAGTTGAATCGAGATTGAAGTTATCTATCTTGGTAGAAACGGACATTAATTCAAATTTTTTAAGTCATGCGAATTCAATAGAAAGAGCTACAAGAACTGTGTTTTCCAAAATTCACTGCTAATGTCAAAAATCTTATATATGTATAGTGCATCTAGCAAATGAGAATGGATTAAAATGGATTGAAATTTTTTTTCTATACGAATGTGTATTTTAAATAGCGAATACTTTTTTTTAGATTTAATTGGATTCAATTGGATGCAATTGGAATGAAAAACTACATTTCCTATTCAAAATTTTGAATTGAACAGTATTCGCAATGTGTGTGCACAGAAAAAATTAATGTTATTTTTAAATTGAAAGGCATAGAGAGACTCCATGCAATTCCTATAAATGAATAAAAATGCATTCAGGATTGAAAAGCATTCATTTTAACATTCGTGAATCCATATTTCTGAAAATTTGAATCCATTTCAATTCATTTCAATCCATTCTCGTTTGCTGGGCAGTGAACTATATAAATTTTCAGTACTCATAGTGAAAACGAAACGCAGCTTATATAGATTTTTAGCTGGCAGTGAATTTTGGAACACAGTCAAGATCGATCGTTTTTTAAATTTATTTACTTGTACTTTTTGTACTCAGCATCTTCGCATATTTTCAATATCTGAATAATTTGTCTCTTTTTAAGTACAAAAAATTTGGAAGATTTCAAGCAACATAAACAGTAGACCTCTTGTCGATAATATCATCGATTTTATATCGGCACATGTATTCTTTCGAATTTCTTCAATTTTTATTTAATAATTTATGTATATTTGTATTACCAAATGTACAAATAATAAATTACATAATACGTAAAACATTCAATACAATTCTCCAACAGATGTTCTAAGAAGGTCTAGATGACATCCTTATCAGTCGATAGGCATCTTCAGGACATTTATACTTGAGGAATTATGTATTGTATGAACAGATAATTAATTAACTTAGGTACACATATCTATATTATATATATGTGTGTGTGTGTGTGTGTGTGTGTGTGTGTGTATATACAAATAAATATATAAAAAAATAATTATTGTAAGAATAACAAAATAGAAAACCAAATAACGAATAAAGAATAACAAAAAAGGTTAAAGAAGCCAAGTACACAAAATATAATATATACCACGCATTCCATCTTAATACAAAAAAAAGAATAGGCATTGTTAAATTGACGCTCTTACGCATGCGCAGAATTTCTCTCGATCGATGGAAGCACGTACGAAATAAATTCGAATCTACTTCGATCTTGCTGATCATAGTGATCGTGACTAACTCATATACTCATTTGCTAGAAGCTGTTGCGAATAGATTCCACATTCTTTTTCTGATCTGATTAGTTTTTCGTTGTAATTTGGAGATATAATGGGGTCATCATTTTGGGGTAAGATGATTTGCTTCTCAATTGTAAATACTAATAAAATCCATGAATATTGTGGCGAAATGTCTCATCCAACCAACGTCGTTATTCATATTACAGCGCTGACTTTACAACCGGGAAATAAATACTCGCAATACGTGAATGAGTCCTTTTGTATAACTATGGCAAGTTTGGATATCACACATGCTAGTAAGACACAACTTCTGAACTCTTTCGTGAAACTTCGTGATGGCATACCTGAAACTCATCCCCGTAAACTCCATTAATTCCTGCCTCTGTCTTGACATATCTTTACGCTTTCGTGTACATGTAAAATAGTCAGATACAATATGTGGCGCACTATATATTAATTATTAATATTTATATATTAATTATATATTATATATTATTACATATTAATTCTAATATATAATAACATATAATATATAATTATATATTAATTTTAACGCTACATTTTAACAGAGAGAAGTATTACAAGTTGTTCAGTAGATCAAGATTAAGATTAGATGTGCGTTGTATCATGTGTTTTATTTACATAGTGAATGTATCCTGCGTCTGAGAGTTGTTTACGTGCCTGAAAATCGCGCGCGCATTACCTTCTTTGCAGGTGACAAACCGATACAAGTAATGATGACTTATGAGCAGACAAGATTTTTGCTTTGTACTTTACACAAAGATAAACCATGGCAAGTTCAACTCGACGTTCTTGTGCAAAAGAAAACTGTTGTAACCCTTTCATGCGATGGTGAAAGTTACGTTTATCTAATTGGACATTATAAAATTGATTTGATAAAAATTCCATTTAACCCAAACTGGATAACAACTTTATCTTGGCACATCTTAGACGAAAAAATAAATGAACTAAAAAATAAAGGAACTTCTCCAGAAGAATTAACTGAATATTTGAATAAATATACAACAGTAAAAATCGTGGAAAAATGGATAGTTACACCATACTCTATTAAAAAGAAACAAATCCAAAAAGATAGAGAACTTGTTCAAGTTCCAAACTTAAAAAAAAAAAGTTTTGTGAAAGATAACAACAGAACGAAAAAAGCAAAGTGCGTAAAGTCATTATTTCATTGCAATGAAAATATTAATTTTAATAATGTTTCTTCTGAGAATTCTTCTGAGATTTCGTCTGAGGAATCTTCTGAGAGTTTTTCTAAGGATTCTTTTATGGAAAGTAATGACGATGTTGAAAAAAATGATAAAGAAAATAAGTCAATATATCATTTTAGATCAAAAAATAGACAGAAAAATGAAAGAAAAAATGAAAATAAGATGATGCAAAAAAGAAAGAAAGAATCTAAAAAGCAAGAAATAAAAGAGAAACAACAGAAAGCTAAAGTAATCGAGAAAAAATCGAAGGAAAATCCTAATAAAACAAAAAAGAATAGCAAGCAGCAAGCTGAAAGAATTATAAAGGATGGTGTAAAAATGCGAGAGTTAAGACCTGGTACTGGCAAAATCGCAGAAGTGGGCAAATATGTCACAATCTTTTATGTAGCTTATATGAAGACCGGACAAATATTGGAAGAATTTGATCGATTTGAAAATCTTGGTTTTAGATTTAAACTCGGTGCAGGATTCGTGATCAAGGGCTTGGATGTAGGAATAATTGGAATGAAAATTGATGAAAAACGTCGTCTTATAATGCCACCCAATATGGCGTATGTGTAGCATTCTTACTTATGCTTTTTACTCATATATTCCAATCCGTTTCGCATTGAGTCAGTTTCATAATTTAAAAAAAATTTCTTTATTCAAGTACAATGTCCGATCACAGTTTGAAAACGTATAAACGTATTAGTGCTATATTTTTTTTACAGATATGGAGATGAAGGTTATGGACTCAAAGTTCCACCTAATTTAACAGTTATATATGATGTTGAACTTAAGAAAGTCGAATAAGTGTCAATAATTTATATATTGATGACTAACTTATGAATAGTCTAAGAATTTTTTAAATGAATTTCACAACTGCTACCTTATGAATATGACATTTTTTATCTTGTATTTTAATCAGAGACTCTTAAATTTTCGACATGTTTTTCTTTATTTGATACTTATATATGATATACTTATAAAACTTGAGTAAATTTTAATAATTTAAATATTTATGAATAATTTAAGGAACTTTTTTAACTTCATGATTGTTTATTTGTCTCATTAGAATGTAAATCAATTTTTTTTGTATTTGAAACAGAAGGTTTGAACTCGATATGCTCTTTATTTCATACTTGTTATAAGTGAAATTAAATTCATCAAAAGTCGAGTTATTAATTAACCTTACAACTGCTATCTTATTAGAATATATAGTCTTTTTTTATCTAATGTTTGATATATGCTTATGGGAAATGTTTTTTTAGAGAATTAAGTAAATAAAATGGAAAAGTTTTTATATAAAATTGATATACATATATAATTTTAATATTTCATGTGATTTAATATTAAATTATAATATGTATAATATATATATAATCAGATCTTTTTATTTAAAAACTTTATAGTTTAAAGTTTATTGCAAATGATTTTTAGAGTGAATCTTTCAAAGTTTTAGATTTAAGTTTATTATGAAAAAGAGGATAAGGTATCGTTTATAAGAATAATTCAGAATAAATAGTTATAATTATTAATTGACGAATTTCAAAAGAGAGATAATGTTTTGATAATTCTATAAAAATGTCTGTGAATAGATTATGTAATAATTTGAACATTAAATTTACAATTTATGAATATTTCATAAATTAGCACATCTCTATAGTACAATTATATTCTATTATACTAACTGTATTCTATAATGTAATTATACTTTTCCTATGGTCTTTCATACATAATAAAATCGAGAGCTCGATGATTGAAACGTAAATTTAATTGAAATATTACGTTGTATAAACATATATATGATACAAATATAATATCAAGTTATAAATTTAATATCATAGGTTGATTAGCATTATTGGAGTTTAGTATTAAGAATTAAGAAAACTGTTTGTAAATAAAAGCATTGCTATACTATGTTGTTTTAATATTTTGACATGCACATTCCTTAAAATTTTGTAGCTTCAAATCATAAATTAAATTAAAATAATATTAGAGTAAAATGATAAGAGAACATTTATATATATATATTATATATTTATTCTATTATACATAAGATAATTCCATTTAACAAATCTTGACATGTTCATGTATGTATAACAAAAAGACCCTTACAAACCACATAGCTAATCTTTATGATTTAATGTGTTTTATTACGTTGACATCAAATATCATCATATACAGAGAACATACATAATTCGATTAACTAAAACAACAGATTATCTTATTTTTAGTTGAATACAGATCGATCAATGTCTTAAGTGCGATTTGTAATTGTGTCAATAGAATATATTTAAATTATTAACTTTTGATTGTTTAACAAAAATGTAAATGTTGAATTAACCCATGTCAATTGAGCAAACTGCATATCCTAAGGAAAAGCAACTCGGCTGTTCTTCATTCATTTTTTTTTACCGCATCACCTTTATCTTTCCATGATAGGGTACATGTCCCATTTTTGCATTCCTTTATCAAATCTGGACATAGCTGATCTCCTTTGACCTCCTGTCCTTTATTTCTCAATTGCCACCACTTGATCAATAACGGTTGTATAAGGAACCTCCATATTATTAGGATTATAGGAACCGCGAAGCATGGCACGCACACCATTCTAACTTATTTTTATAATCTAAAATTATAGAGAAGCAATTTTCAGAGAAAGAGAGAGAGAGAGAGAGAGAGAGAGAGAGAGAGAGAGAGAGAGAGAGAGAGAGAGAGAGAGAGAGAGAGAGAGAGAGAGAGAAATGTCAAATGTTCATCTCAAATCTGCAGCTTCATAGATCGCACAATCAATCATTTTATTTCTTATCATTACTGTGTTTGCTACGTACGTTCACTTTCAAAGGTGCGGAAAGCAGGATGATTCTCTCTTACCTCGAGAAAAGGAATATCGAGCCTCCACGAGATAACAATCGGATAAATGTGAGAGAGATCGATATGAGCATAACCTGGACGAGAACGTAGAGTAAAAAAATCTGGAATGTTCTTGACGGATACAGAAAATATGTCGATAAGAATATTAAGAACAGATATTATCATGTATCGAGCTAGAAATCACTGGGAGAGATGATTACTTGGAATGTTGACTCGTCCCTCTAATTTTAATGTTTCATCCCTTCGACAATTTGCTCGATCTGTCACTCGCGATCGTAATACACAACAAACATAAACCAACACATACACAGAAGTACACGACACATATCCATTATTCGACTTCCTTCGCCTGTCGTTCGCAGCGCCGCGCCAAGCGCGATTAGCTTGAACTCTTGGAGTGTGCTTGGACTAGTGTCAAATTGACGCGCGCAAGTTACTAGCTAGTTTTGGAATGGCTCCGACTAAACTCTGATTAACTTGATTAAAGAATAATTTGTCAAGCAACATTTGTATTTTCTTAATTTAGAATTATATCTGTTATTTAAAATATGGAAAACAAAAAGATTGGATCAAAAACGATAAAAATTTATTTAGTCAGAAATTTTAGTAAGCAATTCAATAACATACTGAATTAATAATCGATAATTAATTTTATTAAGTAATATTTTATTAACGTGGATTATTATTTTTTATTGCTTAACTCTATTGGTCTGTTCGAGTTTATTTGATTCAAAATGTAATTTATCTTCTTACTAATATTTTATTTAAAAAATTTTATTCCATTAACTCCGTTTATTAATGTAAAATATATTTTCTATGTAAATATATTTTCTATAAAATTTATTTTTTATTTTATCAGAGCTTTAAATCACATTGGTCCAAATGATATGATCATACAATAAATTTGAACAAACCAGCATCCCAAAGTTAACATATACAGTTTAAAGACAACGAATTGTACATTTTCACTTCGAGCACTTCTGCTACGAATTAATCGCCCGATTATGTTAATTAGAGTTGTTTAGTCGAAGTCGTCCTTGTTCTACATAAGTACCCGTTTCTTTCTGCGCGACATCAATCACCTGGTAACGCTATTCGCACCTGTCCTTATGAGAAGTCTAATTTATCCATATTTAACACGATCATGATGCGCTATACGATATTTAACATTATACGCATGCAAAAGAACATGGTCACAGCCATATATCGTGATTGCAGGATCTTCTTCGTGTTTCATTACATTTAAGTGTATACACACATATATATATATTAGGTGTTGGAATTAATTCGTAGCAATAGCCATATATAGTATATAATGGAACGAGAGAATTCGTATCGCAAAATGTTTGTGGTAAGAGCTATATCGAAGTGTTTAAAATGTTCCAGACGTCAATTCGACTAATCAGTTCCTTTAATTTCACGAGGAAAAGCATTATAAGCCGAATAAATATTAATTAGATTATGCATAAGTTCTTTTGACTCTTACATGCTTCCAAACACCTTACGACCCCTCGTTACAGATAACGAGACGACGACGACGCTCAACACGAAGAAAACTAGACCGAAGAGAGTGGTCAGGGCTCTGCACCATTGCCGCTTCCGTTTCGCTCTCGCAATCGTCCGGCCTAAACGCTCGACCTGTGTCACGTCGAGCGTGAAATCAAAATCCTCGCCCAAGCCTCCAGCTAAGCGATGGTTCCAGTTGTTCGCGCTCAACGAAGCAATTGTTCCTTCGGTTACAGACGACCCGACGTCGCTGCATACTAGCTGCTGAAATAATATGTTCCTCCATACAGCTATGACTGTATATATTATACACTTGCTGAACATTGATTAAAACGTATTTATGTCCGTTTCCACCAAAATGTAGATTAATATATTTTAATCCACGTTCAATTTTTCATTTTTTTTTCTAATTTTTAGAATTAAAAAAAGATAAAGAGAAAGATAAATTAAGATAAAAGATTTAATCTACGTTGATGGAAACAACTAATCAAACAACGTAAATTCGAAGAGTCTTTCGAAGAAGCTATACGCTAATCGAAGAAGCTATACGAAACTAGTACTCACCGAATATTTGGACTCTGTTGCGCAAGGTTTCTTTCTCGCGAGGCTGGACTTGTTTCTCATATCGCTGTCGCCTTCACGTCTCGTCGTCCTGTCATTCTTGAGCGACGGCGCGGATCGCGCCGAGTTGTACTCGTAGAGGCAACGAGGACTGACACAAAGTTTTGAGTTGATTGGATTCACTTTCGACGGTACGTTCTTCACGCAGCTCGGCGATACCGTTGGATTCTTATCACTGAACGCCCAGGATGGGCAAATATACTCGTACACGTTGTCGTTCCTCGTGCCAATCTCTAAGGAAACAATGCGCGATATATCGCGCAAGATATCTTCCGGTGGCGCCGTAACATTGCCGTCTATCACAGAATTGAGAGTTTGGGATAATTCGAGCAGCACCTCATGAGCTTTCGATGATATCAGCTGCGGCTGCGATGGCGAATACTTATACGTGCAACCGCATACGTGGCATGTATAAATACCTGTTACGATAAAAGAAAAATGTTAACGTGCGATAAACGAGATTTTTGTAAAGTGAAAGTGAACTATACAGCGTGAAATCGTCACTAATTCCGTTTATACCTTCATAACCGCCTGCACTGCGATCCTCGGTATGATGATAGATGATGGAAGGCCAAATCGGCCGTGGTATCGCTTCGCTCTCGTGAATCACCGCTAGGCTACCGTACGATGGATCTCTCGTTGACGCTGATGCATAATAAGAGTACGAGCCGGCTGACAACGGCGGTGAATGACTCGAATAACCGGAGCTCGTCGACGTTCTGTAATATCTTCGTGGATTATTGCGCGACGCCGTTGACTTGCTGCCTGCGATACCGCTCACGAATTTAGAAATTTCTATGTCTGCCAAA